CTTTCCCCCCTTGGTGTCCATACGTTTGTTCTCTACGTCTGTGTCTCTATTTCTGCCCTGCAATCTGGTTCATCTGTACCATTTTTCTAGGTTCCACATATATGCATTAAGGTACGATATTTGTTTTTCTCTTTCTGACTTACTTCACTCTGTATGACAGTCTCTAGATCCATCCACGCCTCTACAAATGACCCAATTTCGTGCCTTTTTATGGCTGAGTAATATTCCATTGTATTTATGTACCACATCTTCTTTATCCATTCGTCTGTCGATGGGCATTTAGTTTGCTTCCATGACCTGGCTATTGTAAATAGTGCTGCAATGAACATTGGGGTGCATGTGTCTTTTTGAATTATGGTTTTCTCTGGGTATATGCCCAGTAGTGGGACTGCTGTGTCATATGCTAATTCTGTTTTTAGCTTTTAAGAAACCTCCATGCTGTTCTCCACAGTGGCTGTATCAATTTACATTCCCACCAACAGTGCAAGAGGGTTCCCTTTTCTCCACACCCTCGCCAGCATCTGTTGTTTGCAGATTTTCTGATGATGCCCATTCTAACTGGTGATAGTTTTATTTTTTAATACTAAGGAGTGGCGCATTCTTTTCCGTATGGTCTGGGATAGTTCAAATGATATTAAAATGATCTACATTTGAAAGGTCTGATAAAACTTGGCTGTACATTTTTCTATGGTAGATCTTTGATGTTTAAAAAACCTCTTCTCTGGTAATTGTTCTATTTCAAGTTTTCCTTTTCTTCGGTCAGTTTTTTTTTTCCTCCTTAATTTTTTTTTTTTATGGAAGTATAGTTGATTTACAATGTTGTGTTAATTTCTGCTGTACGGCAAAGTGACTCAGTTATACATATATATTTTTAAATTTATATAAATATTACATAACTATTATATTTATATCTTTTCCATTATGGTTCATCCCAGGACATTGAATATACTTCCCTGTGCTATACAGTGGGACCTTGTTGTCCATCCATTCTATATGTAATAGTTTGCATCTGCTCACCCCAAACTCCCAGTCCATCCCTCCCCCACACCCTTCCGCCTTGGCAACCACAAGTCTGTTCTCTATGTCTGTGAGTCTGTTTCTGCTTGGTAGATAGATTCATTTGTGTCATATTTTAGATTTCATATATAAGTGATATCATATGGTACTTGACTTTCTCTTTCTGACTAGGTCAGTTTGGTTTTTTTCCTGCATTTTGCAAACAATCATCCATTTCTTCTAGGTCTTAAAATTTGCTGCCCCAGAGCTGAAGTGTAGTATTATTTTACAATTATTTTCATCCTCCTTTATCTGCAGTAATGTCTTTTCTCATTTCTCATTTTGTTTATATTCTTTTTTATCAGGTTTGTGAAGGATTTATTGGTTTTTGTTTGTCCTTTTTTTATTTCTACTAATTTTAGTCTTTTAAATAATTCCTTCCCGCCAGTTACTTCGTTCTTTTTCTTATTTCTTAATACAAATACTCTCTGCAGGCTTTTAAGACACAGATATTCCTTGTGTACAGCTTTCTCTGTATCCTGTAGGTTTTGATGAGAAGTAGTCTCTTTTTCATTGCTTTTGAGACAGTTTGTAATTTCTCCTTTTAATTTCCTCTTTGATGCAGCAGTGATCTAGGAGTGTTTCCTTATTAGGTAGGTCACATTTTAATTGTGTCTAATTATCAGCTAATGTAGCCTATAACACTGACTTTTACAAAATTTGCTAAATTTTTATTTGTGTTTACTGACACATATGTGGACATGTGAAAATTTTCTATTTGGCAGAGGAAAGCTTTTCTATATATTTCTTAAACCAAGTTCCTTATTCATATTATTCATTTTTCCCATGTCATTATTTTTCTTCTTTGGAATGTACAGTTTCAGTGCATTGTAAATCAAGTGCTTGTATTTTTAATCACTCTTGTATTATGTATTTAGTTATGTTGTTTGCTATCTGTTGGCTGTTTGTCTTCACATAATGCTTCTCCTTCTGCTGTTTAGTGCTTTTAACCTTAAACTTGACCTTGTCTGATATTACCCTCATACATCTTTTTGTCCACCTACCATCACTACTATTTCCACCCCTTTCAATTCAACCTTTTATTATCACTTTATGGGTTTCCTGTAAACAAGTTACAGCTAGTTTTCTCTCCCTCCTTTCCAAACCCAATCTCATCATCTCTGCTTTTAATAGGAGAAATCAGTTTGTCACATTTGGAATAATTAGACAGTTAACTTTCTCAACTATTAATTTCAAAGAACATTCTCTATATCCTCTCTTATCCCTGTAAGATGACATTTTTGAGTATTTTTACTTTCCTCCAGTCCCTACACTTACTTTTACAGAAATAACTTATCATCCTTTGTTAGAGCCTGGTATCAGAATTTCTCTTTCAGTCCATTGCTCCTAATTCAAATGCCCTTATTTAGCACTTATTAATACATTTCCAGGTAGTCTCTCCTCATCCATCTTATTTTATTTTTGGACCTTCCTCTCTAGGTTTCTTACTTAGGCCTGTTTCCTCTTTATCTTTCGCCATCTCCATGCCTCTGATCTGGTTCACCTACTGTTCTTCTGGTATCTTTCATGATCTGCTCTCTGAATTCTTGCATATCCTTAGGTCTTTCTTTTGTCCTGACAGGTAAATGATACCTTGGATATCAGCCCTTTTATCTTAATAGCATGTAGATGTGATGCCACGGTCTTCCAGCAGCTGTTGCAGGTGAGAAGTCCAGTGCCAACCTCATTGTTCTTTTACAGGTGACTTTTCTTTCTGCCTTGAAGCTTGTAATATTTTTCCTTTATTCTTGGAAGTCCAGAGTTTTACCAAGCGCAGAGATGTGTTATTTCTCATCAAGTTAGCCTGGAACTTACAGATCCCTTTTAATATGCATGCTTTACTTTTTCAACTTGGAAATCTTCTTCCAAATTTATTTAATGTTTGACTCCATTCCAACTATTACCTTTTCTCCTTCTAAACTTCTTTTGCCTTTGAAACATCTTTTGAAACTTCATATCTCAATCTTGTATTCTGTGATTTGAGGACTTTATCTTTCAGGCTACTATTTTGAGTCTCAGTAGAAACCATGCATTTTCAACTTATCTATCTACTGCAGTTTTAAATTAGGAAATCATTTTTTGTGAAATTTTAGTTTTAGAAAAATATTTTTTGGTGGCCCCTCCCCTTGAATTTCCTTACATGCTTTCTTTGAGCTGCCAGAGGGACCAGTTTTCTGGGCTTATACTCTGTTCTGAGTGACTTTATTCTGGCTCCCAGGTCCTCTAATGAATTGTTATTATTTGTCATCAGCTCACTGGGGCCCGGGACGTGTTGATGGTGTTCACTGAGGGACAACAGTCTTGTTGTGTAGGAGGTGAGGTAGTGTCCTTCCCCTGGCCCAGCAGCACAGAGGTAGGTAAGGCAGGTGGCCAGTCCCCAGGAGGAAGCTTCTGTAGACTGGGTATCCCTGGCCTCTTACCAGTCTTGGGAACAGTGTGAACTTGGCTCCATCCACAGCCCTTCTCAGCTGGGGTTCTGAGAGAGAATAAAACCCTAATATCCCGAGGAATCCACTGTATGCAGTGAATTCTCTTCTGTGCATCTAGAATGGTTCTATGCACCATCATTGGGAGAATCGAGGGAACAGGCATTCAAATCACCTTTTGTAGGGCTTAATCCTCTCATGTACCCCCGATGAGAAAGGCTGAGCCGGACACACTCAACATAGGGTTGGTGATGACCTTCCCTGACTGGTGGAGGAAGGGATCCCACAGATGTCCTGGTCCCAAGCTCTTCCCAAGAGGCAGTACAACGCAGTGGCTGAATGTATGGGCTGCAGGGCTGAATGTATGCCTAGGTTGGACCAGGGGCCAGTTATTGAAACTTCCTGTGCCTGGAACACTGTGAGCACTCAGTAATGTGCTTCCATTTATGAACATAATTGCTGCTGCTGCTTTCCCTTCTCCTTCCTTATCATCTGGTACCTGCTTTGACAGTGTTCTCCAGCCCATGCTGCCCGAGGTAAAGAAAGCCCTGGCTCCCTCCTCACCGCTTGAAGTCCAGAGGTTCATTTCTGCTTGGCCCCAGGAGCCCCTGGCTCAGAAGAGGCAAGTGTTTTGGGGCTGGGTGGGGCCCAAGAGCCACATTCTGGTTGTCATGACATTAGAATCTTATCCATCATCAGTGTTATTGTCTTTAATAGCAGGCCTGGCGGAAGATACCCTGTTCATTGCCTATAAGGGGCATTATCCTGAGGGTGTTTCCTACTCTCTCCTTAGCCTTCATGGACATACTTTGGATAAATGTGATTAGCCACCTAGGGAAGCAGGAGGCATTTATTAGCTAGGGAGAGAGCCCTTTCCTGCAGGTGGGTGTTGTCTTCCATGTACTCAACATACCTGGAGGCTTGGTTGGGACTTATGCACGTTCCCCCAGCTCAGGACCCACACTTGGTCATGTGATTTGTCATAGGACAACTTAGCCGGCAGAGGGTCGACACCTATGGACTTGAAAAAAAATAGCGACAAGTTGGTCATTGTTGTAGAAGCTGATTCATTTCTAGGCCACTCTTGGGTGAGTGGAAAGCCAGCCTAGCAGCTTTGACAATGAGCCAGTTTGGCAGCCCAGGGTAGAAACATCCCTTCTGGGTTTGTCTTCAGAGGCATAAAATTGGTTGTCAGTAACGTTCTTCCTTTTAAAAATTTCTTGCAGGGACTTCCCTGGTGGCGCAGTGGTTAAGAATCTGCCTGCCAGTGCAGGGGACGTGGGTTCGAGCCCTGGTCCGGGAAGATCCCACATGCTGTAGAGCAGCTAAGCCCATGTGCCACAACTACTGAGCCCACGCGCCTAGAGCCCATGCTCCGCAACAAGAGAAGCCACTGCAATGAGAAGCCTGCGCACTGCAAGGAAGAGTAGGCTCCGCTCGCCGCAGCTAGAGAAAGCCTGCATGCAGCAACGAAGACCCAACAACACAGCCAAAAAGTAAATAAAAAATTTATTAAAAAAAAATTCTCGGGCTTCCCTGGTGGCGCAGTGGTTGAGAGTCCGCCTGCCGATGCAGGGGACGCGGGTTCGTGCCCCGGTCCGGGAGGATCCCACATGCCGCGGAGCGGCTGGGCCCGTGAGCCATGGCCGCTGAGCCTGTGCGTCTGAAGGCTGTGCTCCACAGCGGGAGAGGCCGCAGCAGTGAGAGGCCCAAAAAAAAAAAAAAAAAAAAAAAAAAAAAATTCTTGCATGTCTTTCTTACTTAAAGGGTACCCAGGCCATCTTGGCAAAAGCCTAAACACAGAGGTTTTTTGTTTTTTTTTTCCAGTTTTCCACTCACTCGAGAATCAGCTTGAGGACCCTCCCATCACTTTTCCTGTAAGCCTTTGGGGCCTCTTGAACACACTCAGCATCCTTCTCTAGCTCTTCTTCCTGGGTCATCTGAGACTGACTTTGAACTCATCCATTATCACCTGTCTGTCTCTTAACTTCATGCAGACTCTACCTGGTACATCATTCACCTGGAGCCTCTGGGACCCAGACTGTAGCATCAGGCAGTCTTTTTCTACTACTGTAACTGAAACTCTGCTATTTTCTGAGGACAGAGCTTCCCCAGTGGCCCTGTCAAATGGTGACTTTTCTACTTCTCAGAATGTAGTTTTATAAGTTCCAAAACTCTGTTTTGTTATGCCACTATGACCCCTGCTCTTTTTGGCACTGGCCAAAGTTCTAGTCACTACCTTTGTTCACTAAAGATGCTCTGTTTTCTCTGTCACTCCCTGAGTCCCCAACTTTGGTGCCTTCATTCAAAGCCCTGCTTTCTCAGTTCCTTCTTGGTTTCAGTGATCTTTTCATCTTCCCCACTGCAGCCACCATAACTTAAACCTTGTCAACAAATTTCTGAAATTTCAGTCCACCATATTCTAGCCTTTCTGATCTTGGGGGAAAACCATCTTTGCCGCCACTGGTTAAAACTTCTCTAAAGAAATGTCTATGGAGTCCCTGAAACCACTTCCTCTTAACTGTTTGTCTTCAGCACTCCAGTGAACTGCTCTAGAGCTTCACGTCAAATTCAGAGATCACTGTGTGATTGATTCTCCTCTAACTTGCCATTTCACCAAGATTCCACATGGTTAACCATTCCCTTCTGGAAACATTTTCTTCACTCAGCTTCCCATCTCCCTGGCTTCTCTTCCTCATCCTGACTTCTAAATGGTGGCATGTCCCCCCGTCTTCATCTTTGACCTTGTCTCTGTCTATATCCTTTCCCTGGGTGAGCTCATTCAGTACATGCCTTCAAATAACCCATTATACTCTGATGACTTTAGAATTCATTCCTCTGTCGAGGACCACAACTTTATACAAATCCGAACTCCTTGATTTTGCCTATCCCTGCTGAAATATATTTCTTCTCCAGTCAGTCATCACCATCTTTGAAGTCTCCTTGTACTTTCTTGCTCTAAGTAAAACTTCCTCTGCCCTGAAGCCTCAAGTAGAGGCTGCTTCTATTTTCCTACACTTCACATACCCCAGGTCCTTTGTTCATGCCTCCAGCTACTCTTCCTTGATCCTCTCATCCTGGCTGCTTCCCTTCATTTACCAAAGGCTTTATGATCTGGCACTGTCTTCCTCTACCCAGAGCTTCTTTTCTCACAAGTGATGATTCCATCCTGACACTATCTCTAGTTTCTTGTATTTTCTCACTCACTCTTTTAAAAACCCTCTTGATTACACATTCTTCTCCAGGTATCCCATTTGTCTGCCCTCTTCACAGACTTCCCCAAAGTTTAGACTGCAGGCATTATCTCTCCTTTCTGCTTAACTTTCTCTAATCATTTTTCATATTCTCATTCTGAATGAGGTGGTATGGAGTAGGAGACTGAAAACCTAAACCAAAAATCTCTTACATTCAGAACAGAGCTTTCCAAAGTCTCATATGCTAAGGAGCAAAGACATGGAAGGGAAAAGGTCCTGAAGAACACACAAGGCTCTCAGTTTAAAGACGTGAAGGGCTACCTACTAGGAGTGAGTCAGAGACTGACTAAGCCTTATGAAAGCTGCAACTCAGCCTTGATTCAACTTAGTACTTGATTAAAGTGATTCACTCTCTCTTCTTAGCAGAGGAAAGGGTAAACCCTCTTCAGTGGATGACAGCCATTTAAAGTCTCTACAATGTACTATAGAATGTTTGACATTCAGAAAAAATTACTAGGCATTCCAAGATACAGCTTATATAACTGAAAACAACATAAAAAAGACAATAGAAACAGACTCACAGGTGATCCGTAAAAAAATAATTTAAAAATTGTGTATATAAAAGGAATTAAGCAGAAATTCTAAAAGTGAAAAAATGCAGCACCTGAAATTAAGATCTCAATAAATAGGTTTTGTTATATATACCTTAGACACAGTGGAAGATAGGATTATTGAACTGAAAGACAAGTTGATAGCATATGCCCAAACTGAACCACAAAGAGACAAAAAGGATGGAAAATAACAGTGAAAGAGATGTGTGGGACACAATGGAAAGGTCTAACATTTTTTTCTCTCAGAGTTCCCAAGGAAGAGGTGAGAGAGAATGAGGCAGCAGAATAGTTGAAGAAATAATGGTTGAGAATTTTCCAGTCTGATTAAAGATATTAATCCACACATTTAAGAACCTCCGGGCCTCCCTGGTGGCGCAGTGGTTGAGAGTCCGCCTGCCGATGCAGGGGATACGGGTTCGTGCCCCGGTCCGGGAGGATCCCACATGCCGCGGAGCGGCTGGGCCCGTGAGCCATGGCCGCTGAGCTTGCGC